TGTGTGTGTGTGTGTGTGTGTGTGTGTGTGTGTGTGTGTGTGTGTGTCTGTGTCTGTGTATCTGTGTTTGCCTTGTGTCTCTACACAGCCTTTGCTGTAGGAGATGTGTGCAAGAGACAAAGAAGACAGACAGCCATCAAGAAAGGCAATGTTGTATTCTCAGAAAAAAATTTGTCAGCAGAAAGTTCTGGCAGAACAGCACAGCAGAACAGCAGTGGAGTGGGAAGGAAGGCGCCAGGGTGAGGACAAGCATGGGCCACCAAGAGCAGGAGGGCAAGGCTGTGCACATAAGCAGCCTGGGGAAAAGGCAGGACCAACAGCTACGGAGGGCTTTCTCTCGGCCCCTCCTCTGGACTTTTCCCTTTGATTGACTTCACCTATATGCAGAAGAGCCTCAGCCCTCAGGCACATTCCCTAGAGTTGAAATGTTCTGGTAGAGACGAGAGGATAAAGACATACCCAGGCATCTTTGCTAGAGTGTAACAGTGATCCATCTCTTTTTCCAAATGTTTTATGTAGTTCCCGTTGTGTGGTTTTCCCCACCGGTGCAGACAGAGTTGCAAACAGAAAGTTCTCCCATTGCTTCCTTCTTGCCGTCGTCTTCGTCAAGTTGCTTTTTTGTTAGTCTCTCGACTGTTGTTGCTTCCGCTAGAGCACGTCTGCAGGGTGGGATTTCAGTGTCATTTGGTGGCATATTGAAAGAGGACTCCAAAGACAAATCAATCAAGAGATGGGTTTCTGCCATGGGTCCTCAGTAGGAATAAAAAAAGCCTGTTTTGCATAATATATGTACAAAGCACTTTACATAGTTCTTCCTCTGTTACTATCTTGGATTTTTCTGTTGACCACGATGAATGTGGGCTCATAATAAATTGCTGAGTAAAGTTAGTTGTTTCTAAGCAGAACAATGTATCCCTACCCACTGCCATCCCGAAGGCCATCCTGGGACCCACGTGCCTGGTGCAGAGACCTCAGCATCTCCAACACCACAGTGTTGTTGACACTAAAGCGCTGTTTGCTTTTATCTCTGAATCTCTCTTTTCCTAAATGATTGCCTGTCCACTGTAATGCTCCGGAAGTTAGTTCAGTGGTCCATATCAGCTCAGACCCTGCACTGGTCTATCCTGCCCATCTTCCTTTGGAGGGAGGCTCACTTCCATCAGCAACCACCACTCATGACCCCGTGCCGGGCGTTCTGCATTACCTGTCTTCCCTCGCCTGACCCTCTCTTTCCTATTATGTAAAAGGTATCTGCTTTGGGATTAGAAGAGGACAGTGAGACACTACAAGCTCACCGGGAAAAGTGGGGCCCATTCTTACAAGTCTCAGGGGAAGGGCGACATTTTCAGGCCACTTGATTGATAAAAGGTCTGCAGCCAGGCCATCTCTGAGTCCTGGACAGGAGGTTTGGGAAGCATTCTGAGGAAGGAATGTGTGACTCTGAGGATAGGGTAGAAAGGTATATTTAGTTAAGGTGTACACATTATTAAGGTGTACCCTTTATTTAAATAGGGGATGTCCCACCATCACTACCCCTCTGATGTTCCGGAATCTGACAACTTGAAACCTATAAACGTTCGTACAGAGTGAGAACGGTGCTCACTGTTTTCTGGAGTACAGGCACCTGAGGAGTCTCTTAGGGGTCAGACACTGGTACAGCAGCTCTCAGGGTCTGGCCATCCACTCCAGCAGCCATGAGAAGAGGCTGCTGCAGATGGGCATGGTTTGATCAGTCCATAGCTGAAACTGTATCCTAAGAACATTAGCCTTTTGTGTTAGCTGCTGAGCACCCTCTTCTCGGGGCATCTGCCCTCAGAAGTCCCTTGGGTGCGAAAGTACAGGTGAAGTAGGGTTTTTCTTTACTCTAGAGAAGATGAGATCAGATCCCTCCTATAGGGAAGGGGCTCTGCCCAGAGCTGGGTAAGACATGCTGATATTTCCTGAGCTTCTGTGTCCCCTTTTCTCATGGGAATCCCTTTGAATTCTCTTTACTCTTTATAGGCTTGGAAATATTCTCCTGCCTCAGGAGACCAAAGAGAGACCTCTGAAGTCTGGGGGCTCCAGGAGTTTGGAAACTGTTCTTGTTTCCTGGTCTCTCTGCTTTAAATACTGGCTGTTTCTAACTCCCCTCTTGCAGTGAGCCCCGCCTTATCACTCTCTCCGAAGCCAGAAGATGGCCATCCAATTGCACAAAAGGTAGACAGTATGCCCAATCTTACCTCCAGTTCCTTGCTTCTTATTGCGGGCACAGAGTTGAGGCCCCTGAGGACCCCTGACCATACTCTACAGGAACTTCAGAACTTCAAAGCTCTTTTTGTCCTGCAGGGCTTTCTGACTATGTCCAGTGAGCTCCTGTGACCATGTGCCCTTGTTAGTTCTATGCTGGATTTAGTTTAGATGGAAATACAGACTCCTGATTTAATCAGTAACCAGGTAGCCATGGAGATAATGTCAAGCCTCTGGCCTCCTGATAAGCCTGAGCAAAGTCATGCAAACAGGGCCTGCAAATTGTCAATAAGGCTTTGCCAGGCAGGCCTCTGCATAACCTGCCTGTGGCTTCTGGTGCTTATCAGGATTCAGAAATCTGAAAACCAGGAATCCAGGCTTTGACTCAACACTTGCTTTTTCTCTTCTCTCTTGCAGGTATACCAACACTCCCACACTGGATATTATGTTCTGAGCAAAATTCCTCACGGGTAAGATGGTTATTTCTTTCTCTCTCCCTTAGAAATCTGCAGAACAAAGTTAGACAGAGAACATTAGGCTCTGTCTGGCCCTCTGGGCAGGAACAGGATCCCACAGAATGGAAAAGTCCCGTAGCTCTTCTTTTAATGACAGGTCTAAGTTTGCAGAGGTCACTTAGTCCAGCTGCTGGCACCTCTATGAAGCCTTCTCCTCCTTCTCCTCCTTCTCCTCCTTCTCCTCCTCCTCCTTCTCCTCCTCCCCCTTCTCCTCCTCTCCCTCTTCTCCCCCTCCTCCTCCTCATCTTCTTCCTCCTCCTCCTCCCCCTCCTCCTGTTCTGACTCTGGAGCACAACCACCTAAGTCTCTGCTCGGGGTGTACATGCCCCATGGGGAGCTGCTCTCCAGGGAAGCCTCACAGTTCTCTCCTCACTACTAGGAAGGAAGCCCTTTACTTCCATACATGACTTCAGAAACAGAGCTTTGTGGCACTGCATGGACACTGTGGTCACAGATCCCACAATGTATTGGCAGAGGAAAGTAAATGAGTCAGTCTTGGTCATGGGCTCTGCGCAGCTGTCCAAGACGTGGAATGTGCTTGTGACTTATGCTCTTCCCTGGTGTAATTGTGTTCCCAGAAGCAAGTTCTCAGTGCTTTTGACCAGACCACCCAACTTCATGCTGTTTCATGACCTTGAATGATATTGCTAAGCCTACCTGGTCTTGCAAAAAAGTACATAAGCCTGGGACATAACTCAGTTGTCAAATTACTTCACTAGCATTAATGAAGCCCTTGGTTTAATCCTAGCACTGCTTAAACCTGGCAGGTGACAACACTTGGAACATGGAGGCAGGAGGATCAAAAGTTCAAAGTCATGTTCAGTTACACATACTTTTGCAGTCAGCCTGTGCTACTTTGAGACCCTGTGTATAAACTATGAAGTACAAGGCTTGCAGTCCAGGGGTACACATGAAAAGGAAACCGTGAGCAGGGGTGTTTGCAGGTTTTCAGTTCTGGGTAGGCACATTTCATTACATTACCAATGGCCTCGCCATTGAGACCACAGGCCACCAGTAAAGTTTGGTGAAGCCTTACTTCCGATTAAGGGCCAGCCTCTGTGCTGACCTTAGGAAGCAGGAGTGATTGTGTTGTTTCTCTCTTCCCCGCCTACTTCTCCCTCTTCCCCCTCCCATCCCAGAGTCTCCAATCATTTTTTCTGGGCATCTTGGTCCAGAGCTCCCACTGTCTCTTCCATTCCCTCTGCCTCTCTCTCCCACAAAGCATGGAGGAGGATAGATTCTCAGGGTGTGTTCTGGAAGAGATAGAACTGAGCTGTGTCCTGCAGCTTCTGTTGAGTTGAAACACAACAGTTTCCCTGCAAATTTCAATAAACAGCAGGAGCTGCTAGAAGAGCTTTAGCCACACTGTGAGTGTTTACCATTGCTGCAGTTTGTTTTCCTCTGAGCTGAGCTAGAATGCCAGCATGTCCTTAGAAAATAAACATGGTGGAAATAACTTCATTTGCACTTCAGAGAGGTGCCTGTGCGGGATAAAGATCAAGTGTGTTTGACAGGGCCTGTTGGTTTGTTCACAGTATCAAACCAAAGATACTGAAAGTGACTGGACATAGAAAGAAAGTGTCTGTGGAGTGGGGAAAGTGGAAAGATGGTTTTGTGGTTAAGAGCACTTGCTGCTCTTTCAGAGGACTGGAATTCAGTTCCCAGCACCCACATGAGGCAGCTCACAGAGGCCTGTATATTCAGCTGCAGGGCATCCAACTTCTTCTTCTGGCTTCTGTGTACACCTATACTTAGTAACATATAAACACATAGACATATACACACACACAATCTAAAACAATAAAATAAATCTTTTAAAAAGTGCAGTGCTTGCAGAATCTTTCCTTTAAGCATGTCGCAGCAGAGACAACTCGGATGTGGCTCAGGAGACAGGAGTCATCCTCCTCACCTTAAAGCAGACAGACATCCTCAAAGGTCACAGCACCCAAGCATAAATTGGTGCCTTGAGACTCATTCCCTACCCTGGGAGCGGTGAATGTGAGGGACATGCTAGATATTTCAGCTGGACGCCTCGGGGTAGGAATTTTGAGGGTGGGGAGGTGGGAGTGGGGGGGGGTAGGTAGGGGTTACATCCACAGAGAAGAAGGAGGAGGGGTGATGGGATAGGGGGTTCCTGGGTGGGTGGGGGATGGGGTAAGGGAACAACATATGAAATGTAAATAAAACATCCAATTAAAAAAAAACAAATTTAAAAAAAATTCCCATGAGCTTGAAAAAAAGATACATACAGGGAATCTCTGGATTAAGCCACCTTTCAGCCTGCAGCTTTTGCAGCCTCAACCTTCAAAAGGCCCCCTTTATCCTCCAGCAGGTGGCAGTGAATTACACAGCCCAGGATCGGCTTATGCTCCAAGTAGGTTCTAATAGAAGGTGAACACACTTACCTTATAAAAACCAAAATATCTCCACTAAAATATTTAAATTTACATTATTCGTGTGCAAAATACATTGTTTTTTATGTTTAGGGGGAATTAAAATTTTATTTTTAATGTATTTGGATATTTGCCATCATTTATGTATGTGTACCATGCCTAGTGCCTTTGGAGATCAGACACCTTCAGATCTGGACCTAGAGTTACAGATAGCACCAGAAAATAGATAGATGTAGGTACTGAGAACCAAACTGGAATCCTCTGCAAGAGTAGCCAGTGCTATTAACCACTGAGCCATCTCTCCAGCCCATGGTTTTATGGTATTTTGTCTTGTTTGATGGGGTCTTGTGTAGCCCAAGTTGGCCTTGAGCTTTCTACACAGCTACAGTCTTGAATTTATGGACCCCTTGACTCTTTCTACCTTCCAAGTGCTAGAGTGACAGGCGCTTACCACTGTGCTGGGATAAGTTACCCTTAGGGATCTAAGGATGCTCTTCCCACAAATCCTCACACTTCCTTCCAGCGTTCTCCCTTTCGTATTCCACCCAGAGCCGTCCCAACTTCAGGATGAGAGGATCTGTCATTTACAACTTGAATTTTCAGCTAGCCACAGAAGGGTCAAATGAATGTCAGTGCCCTCTAATTCTTAGTTCCATTCCTATTCACAAACGGAAGGGACTGGGGTCCCTCTCCATCTCTGCTCTGTTGCACATCTCTGCCCCACGTGGTTGGCTTGTGTGCTTTGGGCCTGTGTTACTGGAGCCAGACAGAACTCAATTCATGATGCAGCCAAAGCTACAGTGAGGGTTTCAGACAGCTGAGCCTGCATTTATCCAGCATCCCGGTGCCTGGGGCAGGTCGGTTTGACTTGCATTTAGCAAGTTTTTTAAGGGATATATTCTTGAGGGACATAGGTCTTTTACTTGCAGTGTTTACTTAAATAGAAATAAATGGTTGTTTTAACATAACGTATTTCACTAGGGGTTTTTATGCCAGAATTTCCACTAAATAAAGCAACTTTCTACAGTAAACATTAACCACCCAATATTCTCTACTACGGATTAGATATGCGGAGGCTACAAAGGTGGCTCAGTAGTCAAGAGTACACATTGCTCTTCTAATGGACCCGAGTTTGGTTCCCAGCACCCACATTGGGATGCATATAACCATCTGTTGCCACAGTCCCAAGGGATCTGATGCCCTCTTCTGGCATTGCTGAGAACCTGTTCTCACATGAGCATAACCACTCATGGACACATAATGAAAACAAAAATCATTTTTAGAATGATCAGCTATGTTTTCAAACAAGCTTCACTACAATTTGTTTCTTCAACATTTTTCTGGCATGATGCTCTCCTTGAATTTGTTTTGTCTTTGGACTTAGTCCATAAAAAAAGTGTGTGTGTGTGTGTGTGTGTGTGTGTGTGTGTGTGTGTGTACCAAAGAGAGGGGAGAAGGGAGGGGGAGGGGAGAAGGAGGGGGAAGAAGAGGGAAAAGGACGGAGGGGGAGAGAAAGAGAGATGGGGAGAGAGATTGAGAGAGAGCAGTGAGGGTAATTTAGTATATATTAGGGTCATCCTGAAAGTCCCATGAAGAAACAAAAAGATCAACTGATACTATAACAGAAAAACATTCAATAAAATTGGGCAGCTATCTCATCAGGAAGTGGTGGCACTTTAGGGGGGGTCTAACAAACTCAGAACAGTAATAGAGTGAAGGCTAAATGTGTATCAGAGGTATTATTTAGATGACAGGCCATCTTCTGTGGATAACAGCATCCAAACTTTGCTCAGGTACAAAAACCATATTGCTTTAGAATTGGGGTTGACTTTTTAAAACCGCAATGTATTTGAGAAGATACATAACTGAATCAGAGGTCCTTCTGCCTGAAGACTCTCTCTCCCTTTGTAGACGAGGGTGCACATGGATTTTGTTTATTTAGGAAGTGGGTACCAGGAGGAAAGCAGTGCTCCTCCAGAGACTCTCTAGTACCTCACACAGACATCCACACTTCAGCTCTTCAGTGACAAAAATCTAACCTGCTACCTGGCCAAGCTCCACTTTCCTCTTAGTTTTCAGAGGTGGGGGGTGGGGTGGGGAGGGGGACGGAGATAATGTCCATCCCCAGCTTCTGGAGAACTAAGGACAAGAAACACAGCACAGGTCAGAAAAATACTTGATGAAATGCTATATTACTGTTAGCAGCACTGCAATGCTCAACAGAGTTCAGATGGGACACTGTTTTGGGCTTATCTGTTAATCTTTGAGACATGATCTTACAGTGTAGCCCTGGCTTTCCTGGAACTCGTCATCCTCCTGTCTCAGCCTCCTAACTGCTACAAGTAAGGGATGCTACCACAATCAGGCTTGGCTGCTGTGCTTGAGAACTTAAATTTTTATTTGAAAGGAGATACCAATCTGTGTAACAGCACATGATAAAGTAACTCCAAGGACAGTCTCGATTCTGATACACAAAGCTTCCTTCCAAATCAAGAAGGAAGAGAGGGCTGTGAGCAAGTCAAGGTGAAGGCTGGATTGAGCTGGGCCTGGTGGCTCAGTCAG